CTTCCGAGGAGTGGCTGGTGGGTTTGAACCACCAGCCTTCTGGTTAGCAGTCAAGTGCCTTAGGCACTATGCTACCAGAGCTCCCTGGGATGTGGTCTGCTTCCTGTAAATAAGGAGAAGGCTTGGGGATAGTCTCTAGCTTCTGACATGCTTGGACCCTGCATGTAGCTGGGTCATTGCTCAGCAGCCTGCCATGCTCTGCCGACCTTGGGACTTACAATGGACTTAAATTAATGGCCTGCCGTGTGGTTTGGTAACATCAGGACTGTGTCTTTTTACTTGTCAACCTTTGGTTTTGTCAGCCTCAGCAGCCAGCAGCTGTCTGAGTGAAGAAATGCCTCTGGTTCCAGTCGGCCAGGAGCAGGAGGCAGAGCTGGACCCCAAGGTTGAGAGGCTTTCACCCAGCCCCTAGAGCTTGGCACTTTGAACTTGGACTTAAAGCCTCCAATCTGTAAGAATAAACTCCTGTTTGTTAAAGCCATCCCATTTGTGGTATATTCTTGTCAGAGCAGGACTAGGTAACCAGAACACCCACCCCATGGAAGAAAAGACCTGCCAATCTGCACTCATATAGATTACAGCAGATCAGGGCAGTTCTAGTCTGTTCAGGGTCATTGAGTCAGAACTGACTCAAAGGCACACAACAGCAACAATCTTTTCAAAAGCAGATCACCAGGTCTTACTTCCTCAGAGCCACTGGTGGGTTTGAACCACCATCTTTCAGTTAACAGCTGAGTGCTTAACTGTTGTGCCACTAGGATTCCTTGTCCCAAACACTATAAATGCATTATTTTATTTAGTTTCCACAGAAACTCTGTGAAAGATTCTATCATCTCCTTTTCAGATAAGAAAATTGAAGCCCAGAGATGTTAGATAATTTTCCCGGAAGCACTCATACTAAGTGGTAGAGCTGGGATTCAAGTTCAAGTTTGCCTGATTTCACTCTAAGTCAAAGAAAAGGCAGATAATTTCAATAATGTCCACTGTGTCAAAATGTCAGGATGTCTTGAGCAGTGAGAAAAAAGAGCTGTCACCAAGCTGATGTCCCTTATGCCACAGGAAAGAAATAGAGCCAATTCCTCAGATTGTATTATGGAATGAATTTGTCCCTCCAAAATATGTATTGGGATCTCAACTAGTAAACTTGTGGAAATAATCCTGTCAGGAAATAGGGGTTTCTTTGTTATGTTGATGAGGCCATATCAATGTAGGGTGTGTCTTAAACTTAGTCAATTCTGAGTCATTAAAAAGAGTAGATTAGACACCAAAGTAAGCATAAAAAGGGGAAAGATAGTTGCCATGGGAAGATAGCCCAGGAACTAAGGAATGCTGAGAGACAAAGATCTTTCCCCAGAGCCCACAGAGAGCCTTCCCCTAGAGCTGTTGTGTGTCATTGAGTTTAGTCAGTTCCTAGCCATAGCAACCCTGTATGACAGAGTAGAATTGCCCCATAGGGTATGAATTCTAACTTCTAGCCTCCTAAACTATAAGGAAATAAATTTCTGCTTTTTAAAGTCAGCCACTTGTGGTATTTCTGTCATAGCAACGCTAGGAAACTAAAACAGACCTACAGTTTATTCTTGGTGTTGTTATGTGCTGTCGAGTCGGATCTGACTCATAGCGACCCCTCCTTGGGTTTCCGAGGCAGTATCACTATGGAAGTAGATTGCCCAACCTTTTTTCAAGGAGTGGCTGGTGGGTTTGAACTGCCAGCCTTCCGGTTAGCAGTCAGCTATGTTAAACTAAGGTCACTGGTATATCAAACTTGGTGATTTGGCATCTCTTTTGACAACCATCAGCATTATAATTTAATGCAGGTGGTGCATTAGAAGTATTATGAGGAGATAATGGTTGACAGGGAGGAGACAAGAAACCCACTTTCTAAAGCACAGAAACTGCACGCTAGTCATTTAGTGCAGGAGCAATCATCCAGTGTTTTTCAATCTTGGATGCACATTAAGAGCATCTGGGGAGATTTTTTATAGAATCCCAATATCCAGACCCCACCCAAGATAGATTAACTCAGAGTTGCTGAGAATGGAGTCTGGATATGAATAGTTTGTAAAAGCTCCCTAGTTGATTCTAACATGCAGCCAGTGTTAATGGCCACTGAAACAGTCCTGCACACTTATGTGTCCCAGAGGCACCACTGTTGTTTGTGTACAACATAATCAGCCTTGATCATGAGAACAACCTTGACTCATCAATAAAAGATAGAACTACATTTATAAAGCACTATGTGCTTCCTGGGGTCCAGAAACATGTAATATATTTTAGGAAGATTTCCATTAGAGATAACTGAAATCTTAAAAGCATAGGGTTTAGAAGAATAAACTTCATTTGAATCATTCCTTTAGAAAACTTCATTCCATGCTCATCTGGATAAATGAATGATGGAGTTAACACAGAAAAATAGGCAATATTAGCCAAGATGAGAGATGCCTGTTGTTAATATAGTCTAACATATATTATGTGAGATGAATGTTAGGACATCTGAGAATGTCTTCCTTAGTTTGCACTGAGTTACATGTATTACTTGATCTCTTTCTTGTCCACTGTATCTGGTATCTTAACTGTCTGTTTGAGGTGCTCCCTGGAGGATGCAACAAGCATGAAAATGTGTTCTGGTTTTCAGAACATGGGAAGCTGCAGTCAGAAGAACTTTCCATACTGATAGAGGCTTTGTACACAAGCTGTATGGTGTATCAGAAAGAACCAGCTCCATCTCCCACTAGCTTTGTGTGTTTGAGCAACCCATCTAACCTCTTTGAGCCTCAGTTTCCTTGTGTGTAAAATGAGGATAATTGTTGGCAGAATTATAGAAAATATTAATAGAAAGTGCAATTAATGATGACTATTTTTATCTCTAAGGAGCTCTGGTGGCACAGTGCCTAAGGCATTTGGCTGCCAACCAGAAGGTCAACAGTTCAAACCCACCAGTTGCTCCATGAGAAGAAGATGAGACAATCTACTTCTGTAAAGATTTACAGCATTAGAAACCCAATGAGCATTGCTATGAGTCAGAATAGGAGCTCTGGTAGTGTAGTGCCTAAGGTACTTGACTGCTAACCAGAAGGCTGGCAGTTCAAACCCACCAGCCACTCCTCAGAAGGAAGGTTGGGCAATCTACTTCTATAGTGATAATGCTTCAGAAACCCAAGAAGGGGTTGCTATGAGTCAGGTCCGACTCCATGGCACATAACAACAACAACAACATGAGTCAGAATTGACTCAATGGCAGTATGTTTGGGTTTTTGGTCTATTTTTATCTCTAAAGAGCCCTGGTGGTGCAATGGGTAAGTGCTTGGCTGATAACCTAAAGGTTGGTGGTTCAAACCCACCCAGTAGTTCCAAGGGAGAAATACCTGGTGAACTGCTTTGGCAAAGATTACAGTCAAGAAAACCCTATGTGGGTAATTCCACTTTTTCACACATGGGTTACTATGAGTTGGAATCAACTTGATGGCACACAACAAGAACAAGCATTATTATCTCTACAAAGGATAACTGCACGGATATTCTGCAAGCCAGACTTGCTTCACTTCTGCTAGAGATCAAATCTTTCAACAAATATGCTAACAGGGAAAATCCCTATCTCATAAAATGACTGTCAAACTCTAGTGGTCCATTATTTCAAATAGCACTTCATATAACAAGAGAATTTGGACAGGTCATCAGAGTTTGTTGTACTATTTGTGTCATCAACTTTGATTCTATAAAGAAAATCTTTTAGCACTTCTAGTACATAGTTTTGCATGCTGTGCACCAAATCCAATCTGTTACAAAGCTCCAAGTTGCTGATTTAGGTTGTCTTGAAATCCTGCACAATTGCAAAGCTGCAAAGAAAATCTCTTGCAATGCTCTCACCACTATTTATTATTTAATTATCATTTCCTAGTTGCTTGTGCACCTGGAAGAGTGACGATTCAAGAAGACCCACCTGGCCACTTGTCTGTGGCTTGGCCCAATGTCGAGCTGGGTGATTACTATGTGGCCTTTGTGAAAAGCGATGATGGCTTAGAAGTGCACTGCAACACATCCATCACTCAGTGCAATTTCCTATCTGAGTGTGGCTTCACTTACTTTATTAGTGTTTTTGCCTATAACAAGGCAGGGCAGAGTCCTCTGGGTGAGGTGTTCAATTACACCACAGGTAAGTTGCACTTGCAAAGGGAGTTGTGAGTTTACAAAACTCAGCAGCAGAATGGATCATCTATTGCACTCACTGACTTTCAAAGGCCACCTGAGAGTCCTTCTAGGGCCAAGAATAGAAAACAAATTTCTTGTCTCATTTTCTTTCCAGAGTAGGAAATTTTGACAAGAATGCATAGCTTAAAAGTGAAAAGGGTACAAAGAATGTAGTTGTTCAACCTTGCTCTGAAAAAGTAAACCCTCCACAGAGATCTCAGAGCTCAGCCCTGTGCAAGATGCTGAAGAGACCAGAGGGACAAAGAAGCAATAGAGAAAGAGACTGTGTGGTTGGATGGCTTTGGAGTAGGATGTCTGAGTGGAAGTCCTAATAACTTGACCACTAACTCATTTGTAAGATGGGATATTGATGCCCACCTTGACGATAGTGCCTAGTATCCTGCAAAATGGGACAAATAATAATGAAGAGGTGAATCTGAAAAGGTCTTTGTAAGTGGTAAAGCATCATACAGCTATTTCTACTAGTGTCATTATTACTGTTACTATTTTTCTCCTCCACTAGGCTTGGATCTTCTATAAGACAGATCACATTTTACTTTTCTTTTCATCCTCAATAATTATCATAGTGTGGTTGGCATGTGGGAATTAATGGAGTGAGTGCCTTGAAATTAATTAACTAATTAATTATATTTATATATAAGAATACCCACTACCATCCAGTTGATTCCAACTCATAGCGACCCCCATTGGGTTTCTAAGGCAGTAAATCTTTGTGGAAATAGATTGCCCAGTCTTTCTTCTGCAGAGTGGCTGATGGACACTATCATATAATTATATAAATGATAACATTATCTGGGCTGCAATAAAGTTTACCAGGATGAGGGATCCAAATATTTGACGTCTTTGGAATTTTGAGTAAGAAACTATCAATATGGTCTTAAGAGCATAGGGGTGCCGTCTGGACTGAGTAGCCTTGAACTAGATCAATTAAAGATGGGTAGAATTTGGTTGGGGAAAGAACATTCCAGAGATACTCCAAGCTAAGTTAGGCATTTGTCAGAATTTATCTTTGGGGCTCTGTGGGGGTCTCATCTAAAATTTTCTAATACAATTATACTTCCTTCCTCCCTGTTTTAGTGTCTGAAGAGGCTGATAGGATCTGAGAAATTAGATTAAGCATGATTTTATCAGGCAAAAGGGGAAAGACATTCCAGTACAGGGATAAGTGGTCTTCAAGGCATGGAGAAATGAGAGCACGCGTGGGGTGGGAATTGAGGAGTCTAGTGTAACAGGGATTGTAGGGGAGATGCAGATGAACATGTAGACTGGATACACCTTGTAATGACCTTGAATGTCATGCTAAAGATTTCTCCTCTATGCAGTGCATGTGAGGCCACGATTGAAGCTGGATAGATCAGCAGGGGGAGATTGCTGTAATTTAGGAGGGCATTGGTGGAGGGTCTGGGCATGGGGAGGTCAAGTTCTCAATATCCTCCTCTGGTGGCATTGTTCTGAAGTGACCTTCATTCTTTCTGCTCTTGCTTTCAGCTCCCTGTTGTCCTAGTGACATTAACCCTGTGTTCGTGTCCAGTGACAGAGTAGAAATTGTTTGGTCTCCCGCTCGTGGCGCTGAACTCTATGAAACCAAGGCTGTAGATGGGTATAATTTGGTTGAGTGCAATGATACTGCCCCTGCTTGCACCCTTTCGGCTCTAGACTGTGACACCAAGTACAATATCACAGTGTATTCATTCAGTGAAATCCGGGGCACCAACATGTCATGCACTTCTCGATTTATAACCACAGGTATGGTATAGCTATGCCTTTATTTCCTGACGTCTGAATGATTCACCCCCATATACGTCCCTCAGAAGACTCCCTGTAGTACAATCGGTTAATGTGCTCAGCTGCTAACTGAAGTGGGAGGTTCTAGTCCCCCCAGAGGGACCTCGGAAGAAAGGCATGATGATCTGCTTCTGAAAAATCAGACATTTAAAACCCTGTGGGGCGCAGTTCTACTCTGAAACACATGGGGTCGCCGTGAGTCAAAGATGGTACGGTGGCAGCTGGTTCAATGTTCCTCAGGATGGGCATCAACAAGACTTATGAAAAAGTTAAAGCCTATTAACCACTCTTTGTAAGTACCATTAGAGTCCCTGCTAGACTAAGGAGAGGCAGAAGAGAAGAGGGAGAAGGAAAGTGGGGAAAAACAAAAACAAAAGAGGAAACCATAGGGAGGGTAGAAGATTTCATCAATTACCACATTAGCCACTTAATTCCTCCTGTCAGTGGGAGACCTGCCCTCTATTTACACCATGAAGATTAAGACTGTAAGCTTTTATCTTACTTGTTTTTGGTTTTGGAGTTCAAAATGCTCTTAAACATTTTCCAGCTAGTCCAACACTGTAGGAACCCCCTGTATGTCAGTGTCAACACTTCCTACACAAAGGGTCTATGGATTTGGCCTACATGCATGGTATAGTTGAAGGTAATGACAATTTAGTTTGGAGGAAAAAAAGTCAGCTTTAGACCAAAGGGTACATATGGTATTTTTAACTCATGCTGTTTCAATTAATAGTCTCAATTCTCTTAGCTCCTTGTAGTCCTGAAATAAAAAAGGTTTCAAATGACGCATTCTCCATGATTAATGTGCACTGGCAATCCACTAATGATGACGCCACTTACACAGTGACTGCCCAAGGGGAGAAAGGGCTGTATCAGTGCAGCAGCACGGGAGAGTCCTGCACCCTGGTGGGCCTGCCCTGCGGCTCAGGGTTCTCCATCACCGTGGTGGCAGAAACACAGGCAGGACAGAGCCTGCCAAGCTACAGCGTGCCCCTGGAAATGGGTATGTAGCAATCACCAGCCTGAACGCTGGCTTCAGTAGGGTCCTTAGGAACTGTTTTACAACGTGAATTTTCTTATTGGATCTGTCCCAAGTGTGGTAGAAATATATTATGTTACATTATTAAGAGTCACAGTCTTAGAAAATTTTCAACATCTGAATACAGTTGTTGTTGTTATGTGCCATCCAGTCAGCCCCAACTCATAGTGACCCCTCCTTCGGTTTCCAAGGCAGTATCACTACAGAAGTAGATTGCCCCATCTTCCTTCTGAGGAGTGGCTTGTGGGTTTGAACTGCCAGCCTTCTGGTTAGCAGTCAAGTGCCTTAGGCACTATGCTACCAGAGCTCCTTCTGAAGACTGGTTATATAAAATTATCATCAGAAGACTCTAATGAATTCATAACCAGTGGGTGGTGCAGTGTCTAAAGCATCTGACTGCTAACCAGAAGGTTGGCGGTTCAAACCCACCAGCAGCTCTGCAGAAGGAAGATGGGGCAATCTACTTCCATAAAGATTTACCATCTTAGAAACCCAATGGGGGTCGCTATGAGTTGGAATTCACTGGATGGCAGTGAGTCCCCCCCCCCCTTTGGCTTCTAAGAAAGAATAAATTGACTTTGCAAAACATTTCTTTGAATTCCTATTCCTCTGTCACATAGTCTATTCCAACAGCTAACAAGTACCCAAATGAGCTGGTTTGACTTGGCTCTTCCAGATCTTTCTCTAAAAATGCTTTCTGAGTTTCAGTTTCCTTATCAGTATAAGGAGAATAATGGCCTCATAGAGTGCTTGTGAGTATTAAATTAATGAATGACATAAAGCTCTTAGCATAGAGCCTGAGGCATTGTAAGAGCTCAATAAAAGAAAGCTGTTGTTGCTTCAGAAGATACAGTTTTGTGTGTGAATGAAATTTAGCAAATCACTTAAAGCCTTTGGACATCATTTTCCCTTATAAACAATGGAGACAGTGGAAAGAAGGCACTTATGAAAGTTGAAATATCAAAAAAAGTAGCAGAATAACAACAATGCCAAACACACTCCCATGAAGATTCCAGACAATCCATATCCTGTTTAATGGGTCCCTGAAAAATGGAGAGGTGGCTAAAAATATCTCAAGTTTTGTAATGAATGATGTATTATAAAATACACAGAAAGGCAAAGTGTATTTCATTCCAAACTCTATGAAGAACTAGAGGTGAATGGAACCATTACTTTGAAATTCACGGTTGGAATTGATTAAATCAGTGAGTAACAAAGGGTTTATTTCTTATTCTGAAGAAAAAAAAAGTTGAGTGAGACTTCACGTTACCCAGTGGCCAATTTGTGTACTGCATTCTTGGGAAAATCATCTATAATATACAGTTGATAATACATGATACACCAGAAGGAAAAACCAGGAAGGAAGTTTGAATTAACAATTGAAGTTTCAAAAATTTAGGCTATTGAATGAAACACAGGCAAAATAGCATATTTGATAGTTGGTCCACCCCCCCCACCCCCGACCCCACTGCAAACAACCTTTGTTGGGACTAAAGTTCTGATACTTTCTCTTTTTCCCCATTTAAGTGCCATGTTGTCCAGCCAGTCTGACAATAACTCAGGTCACCCAATCAGTCATCAATATGAGCTGGACTATTGGGACTGGGGCCCAAACCTATGTGGCAGTGCTGGAGTCACACACTGGACAATCCAAGTGTCACACCCATGAAAATCACTGCCTTCTGGGATGCATCATGTGTGGTGTCAATTACACAGTGGCATTAAAAGCAATTAGTGCCACTGGACTGACTGCAGATTGTGCCTTCCGAAGTTATTCCTCTGGTAAGTGAATTCTAAACTCTAGCTCTAAACAAGTTGGTTCTGATTCATGGCAACCCCATGGTAACAGAGTAGAACTGAGTTCCATAGAGTTTTTAATGGCTGCTTTTTTGGAAGTAGATCACCAGGGCTTTCTTCCGAGGCAACCCTGGGTGGACTTGAACTGTGTAACAGCCAAGTGCATTAATAATTTGCATCAAAAAAAAAAAAAAAAAGGCAGCTAGTCAGCTAGCACATATGAAGTGTGGACCAATACCGTTTGGCCACCTGTTTGTGTAAGTGACTACTCCCTAGGTGTTATACTATCCACCTCAGCAAAACTGGTCTTTTCAGTTAAAGCTGAGTATAATTAATTATAGGAGTCCCTGGGTGGGACAAACAGTTATTGCACTAGGCTGTTAACTGAAAAGTTGGAGTGTTGAGTTGGAAGAAAGGCCTGGCAATCTACTTTCAAAAAAAATTAGCCATTGAAAACCTAATAGAGCACACTTCTATTCTGACACACATGAGGTTGCCATGAGTCAGAACTGACTTGACAGCAACTTTTTTTTTCACTTTATAATTAACTACAGTTAAATTTAATCCCACTAAAATTACATGAAAATAGGGTATTACAAAGAATCTTGCCAAAGGTTCTGTGCCTTTGACTTACAAAGTTTGAGTCATATGCAATGTGTATCTGCCAAGTGTGGACCTTTGTGACTCACCATTGTTCTATATTAAAAAGGCATGCCCACCCTACTCCCACACATGACTTTTTGATCAGGTGGCCCACCACAGAAAGAATTTGGGTACCTCTTCAAATTTTGCTCTAATTAATCATATTATTTGTAATAGGTTAACTTATATTGTTTCCCTCCAGAGTCCCTGGGTGATGAAACAGTTAACTCACTTGGTGGTTGCTAATTGCTTTCAACTGGAGGTTTGAGTCCACCATCAACTCAGAGGTTGCTCTGAAGAAAGGCCTGGCAATCTATTTCAGAAAACTCAGCCATTGAAAACCCTGTGGATCACAGTTCTATTCTAATACACATGAGGTCACCATGAGTTGGAGTCAACCATACAGCAACTGGTAATATTGTTTCCCTGTAGGAGTAATGGAGTTTGTTTCTATTCTTCAGGTGCCTGCTGCCCTTTGGGGGTGAAATTATATAGGCTGGGCCCTAATGGCATTCGGATCTACTGGCAAGCATCCAGGGGCTCTACCAACTACAGCACTGACCTCTATGGTTCCAAAGGCATCTTCACATGTGCCCCAAGCTCCAGCCTCAGCTTCTGTGATGTCACCGAGATACCCTGTGGAGACGTATATACTGTGATGGTCTCTCCAGTTGCAGAGACAGGACTGAAGCTTACTTTCTGTCCCAAAAAAATATATTCAGGTAGAGAAAATTATGACCTTCATAGTGGCTAAGACACTTGCCTGCTAACCAGATGGCTGGTGGTTCAAACCCACCAGCCACTCCTCGGAAGGAAGGTTGGGCAATCCTACTTCCGTAGTGACACTGCCTCAGAAACCCAAGGAGGGGTCGCTATGAGTCAGGTTTGACTCGATGGCACATAACAACAACAACAATTTAAAAACAACCCCCAACTAGATCTGTGAATTAATACTCAGAGCAATGTAGGAAAGTTGAAAAGAGTGTGGAATTTCTGGCTGATTTTGGCTTCCAGGGGTCCCACGTTTCTTAGGAATTGATGCTTTATTATTTTTTGAGTTAGGGGTACTCCTCTCTTCCCTGTCTTTCTCTTCTCTTTCAGAAAAACTGCCAGATGCTTGATGCTTAAATAGTATAGTTAATTAAAATATGGTGATCTGCTTTGAGATTTGGGGATAGATTTGGAACATAATCTTAGGGATAATGATAGACACCTGGGATGTCAGAAATTCAGAGGCTTGAACCATTATATTCACAGATTCAGAACTATGACTGAAGAGTTGGAGGATCAGAAAAAAAAAAAAACTACAGTATAAGTCATAAGCTAGGTTTGGAAATGTGAGTGGGCAGACAGTCTGTGATCACAAAGCATGGCTGTCAGCAACTGCCATCTCCCCAAAACTGGCAGAAACGCATGAGCAATTCTCCTGCTCTTTATACCAACCCCCACTGCTGCTTTGCCTAGGGCACAGTCATATAGTTTTCTTGTTTTTCTAAAATAAAAAGAAAGAGATGATGAAGCCCTAGAACTTTGCAGGTAGACACAAGAAGATGAATAAATACTGGTTCACAAACCTTTACTGATAACTAGGATCTAAAAATTCCAATTATTTGTTGGCAACACACAGGTTCAATATGGCTCCTGCGATGGAACCAGGCCAGTGCCTCCTGAGGCAGTTGTTCTTATGTCCTTGGTTGTCACGGTCTGATTCCTTGTTTGTTTTTTATTTTCATTAATATGTCCACAGGACAAGCTGGCCCACAGCATGGCCTAAGGGAAGGAACAGGAATAGGTTCTTGAGGGATGAGGATGAGCTCTTAGGCAGAGAAGCCTAAAGCTCAATAATAATAATTCAAGACATTTACATAATATTTTATAATTTATCAAGTGTTTTCACATTTTATATCTCACTGAATGCTCAAAATAACCCTAAAAGGTAGGTTCAACAGATTTTATTATCTCCTATCTATAAAGGAGGAAACTGAGGTGCTGAGGGTCCCAGATCTCTATCTTCAGCCCTTCTCTTCTTCTGACCTGAAAAGTTAACTCCAACTTGACTCCTTTACCGGGAGATGCCCCAGCATTTCAAACTCCAGGGCCAATATGAACACCTGATCTTCTCCTGATGTTTCTGACATTCTTTTCATTATCCTTGTTTCAGGTACATAAGCTGAAAACCCTGGAGTTAGCTTTCCCTTCCCTCATCATCCATGTCTAAGTCGTGTCCTGTTCACCTCCTTGGTGAAATTCAACTTCCCTCCAATTCCACAACTATGACCATATTTCAGGCCCTTACTACCTTGCCCTTAGACTACTGAACTGGTCCTATCTTTTTCTCCACTCCAGCCTGCATACTATTGCCAGAGTTATTATTCCAGGACATTGATCCAGTTGTGTCAGTTTTTGTTTTGTTTTTTCATTTTTATTGTGATTTGGTCGAAAATATACAGAGCAAATTCACTCTCCATACAGCAGCTCACATACACTTTGTCTCATGACATCGACTGCAATTTCCCACAATGCAACAGCTACCCTCCCACTTCCTCCCCACAGATACCTCTTTCCTGTGTGTGTCCTTCCCTCCTAGAAGCACTCCTGCCCCTGAGCTATCTCCCTGTGCATACACTGCCCTTCTATTCTCCCATGATTATTCTCTCCAAGGAGTGTATCTACCTAATGTAAATGATCAGCTTATATGCCTGTGTTTTGTTTGTCTGGAAGCCACAGGAGTGGGTTCAATTCCAGACCTTAAGGGCAACTATGGGCCATAGTCTCAGTGGTTCCATCAGGCTCAATCAGACCAGCAAACCTGGTCCTTTTTTTAAAAAATAATTTTGAGTTTTATTCCACATTGTTCTCCCACTCTATCCAGGATCTCCTACATAGATCCTCCTCTGAGTGGTTGACAGTGGTAGCTGGGCACCATCTAGTTCTTCTGGTCTCATATCCTTAAAGAATGCTGATAGGATCTGGATTGGGATTGTAGTCATATAGGCTGAGGATCACCTTGTGTACCAGGCCCTTTGACTAATTGTTTCCATGAATCTTTGGTTTTCTTCATTCTTTGCTCTGGATGAGGAGAGACCCATCATTGCATCTAGATGGCAGCTTGCAAGCTTTTAAGATCCCAGTTGCTACTCACCAAAGCAGGATGTGGAACAATGTTTTTGTGTAGTATGTTATGCCAATTGAGCTTGATGTCCTCTGTGACCGTGGTCCCAAGCCCACAAGTCCAACTACTTTCTCCCTGTGACCAAGCTGGCTGGCTGTGACCAAGAAGTGACCACAACCTTGTCCCTTGTCAGCTCTACTGTATACCTGGACATTCTTACAGAACATACAAATATGTTTGTAGATACATTGTCTGCCAGCCCTGTACATAGTCATGGGCACATCCCCCCCCTGCCTAGACATACCTGATTGTTCAGCCTGTCTACCCATCTTCCACCCATATATCAATATTTGCCATCACTGACAATGCAGTACTGTTTGTGCAAAGGGTTCATCTTTGTTGTCTGTATCTCCCACGTACCTCTCTATATCTTCCTCTTCCTCAATGCCATCGTGTTGATCACTCACATTTGGTGCATTGCCCTTCTCTTCACCCAAATCAATACCTATCTCTACCTATCTAACAGTGTTCCCTCCCTTCCCCTCCCACCCTTGGTAACTAACAAAGAAAATTTCATTCCATATATAAACCTTTCCTTAACTTTTCACAATAGTGGACTGATATAATATTTATCCTTCTATGATTGACTTATTTCACTCAGGATAATGTCCTCCAAGCTCATCCACATTATGCAGTGTTTTTCAGATTCTATGTTACTTTTTAGGGTTGCATAGTATTCCATTGTATGTATGTACCATAGTTTGGTTACCCATTTTTCTGTTGATGGGCACCTAGGTTGTTT